GAATGACTAGGGGTTGACAAAACAGAGCTATTCCCTGTTGTGTTCTCTGCCCCTCTGAACAAAAAGACGTCATTGAAAATCAGCATCTTAAAAGAACCATTAAGGATCTTTCAAACGAGCAGTCCAACCAAGGCTACTGTAGTGACACCCTTACTACGGCCTTGGCTACACTGGCAATTCACAGCGCTGCACTTGCTGCGCTCAGGGGTATGAAAAAACACCACCCCCCCCCCCGAGCACAGCGAGTGCAGCGCTGTAAAGCGCCAGTGTAATCAGCGCCTGCAGCGCTGCACGCTCGCTTGCAGCGCTGCAAGCTATTCCCCTCGGAGAGGTGGAGTACTTGCAGCGCTTAAGGCTGGTGTAGAATGAAGGGAGAGCTTCCTATTTCATTTGCATGTGTAAATCAAGCAGACCTTGCTTATTTTTTTTCCTTAAAGTGCTCAGAGTTTAGGGGAGGAAAGTGAATGAGATTCTGCTTATACCTGGTGTGGAAAAGCAGAAGGGACCAAAATCTATTCTTGTGCAAAAATCTGTTCACCCTGAAGTCAATAAGGCTACAAAGGTGTAACTGTCAGTAGGAATTGGCCTGTGTTCTCATTCCCTTCTCGAATCACACACATTCCATGCTTACATACTATTTTCTACTTGGGAAAGAAGATAGTTTGAGTTGGGGCAGAAAAATGAGGACTAACTTAAGGTTTATTTAGCTTTACATTTTTTGAATGAAACTCAAAAGAAATCAAATGCCAGGTACTATTATGATGGATTGAACCGCTAGAGAACCAGCAAATGGACAGAACCTGCCTTTAGCCTATTCAGCCAGTCTTTTTATCATAGTCTGCTCAGAAATGGATTTAAAATCCTTTGGGGAGAGGGGATGGAGAAACCTGTAACTTTGTGTGTTGAGCTTCCTCCAGTGCTTTTGCAACCACTTAAAAATACAAAGATATATTGGCATGTGGAACTAGGCTGAGCATAAGGAAAGAACTTGATTGCCTGTGCATCCCAGTACAGAAAAATACATCAAAGAAAAAAATGGATTTCTTTGATTTTTAGTACAGTTCAATACAGTATTGAACACATTGCATCATAAATCTGAAGCCCCTCAATGGAAGGTACTGTAAAAGTTAAAGTACTGGTATCCAGAATGGGATGTTTTGTTTTTCCTACAAATGTGTGGGAATTCGTTCCTTGTACATAGGAGGGGCAGTAGTTCGGTCTGGAGCTGGATAGAGTGTGTGCAGGTTCTGTGCAAGCTTCCCACCCTACCGCTCTGGTACTGTCTCTTTCCCGCACCACCCCCTTGCCCCACAGGCACTCACCAGTTGTCCAGAAACAGGACCCAGCACACATAGAAGATGACAGTGATGGGCACTAGGACCCAGGAGCCAGCATCCTGGAGCTGCCTGCTAGCCTCAGCGGAGGAGAGGGACGAAGGAAGCTTCTTCCCTCCCTGACAGCTAAGCAGAGCTCTGGAGAAATCGTGGGTAGGGATAATGCCTGCTCAAACTATACCCACGGCTGGCACAGGTTCCCGTGGTAAGCAGATTTTTAGAGTCCGGTCACCAGTGTTAACCGGATACCTGGCAGTGTGTTCCTGCAGCAAGGGGAGATGCAGATGGGAGGGAGCGAAAGCAACAGGCTGCCGGCTGAGCTCCTTCCAAGCCACAGGGGGCTGCTTTGCACTCCAACAGGGCTGCGTGAGCAAGCTTGCTCCCCCTCACCCGGCCCCGGCTGTGCCCCCTACCTGACCAGTAGGGCCTAAAACTAGGACAGCCTAAGGTTCTAGCCTTACTAGCCTAATGGTTAATCCGGCCCTGGACACGCACGGCTGTCCCTTGCTAGCTTGTTCGGGCTAAGGGGCTGTTTAATTGCGATAAAGAGGTTCGGACTTGGCTGCAGCCTGAGCTCTGGGACCCTCCCACCTCAACTTCTTGGACACCACTATCAGTTTCAACAATGGAACCCTACAGACAACTATATACAAGTAATCCATGGATCACCACATCTACCTTCACAAATCCAGTAACCACACAAGACACACCAAGAAATCTGCTATCTACAGCCAGGTTCTAAGACCACACTCAGTAGATTATAAGCTTTGTAATGATACCTTACAAGAGACCTTGTGCATATTCCAATTAAATTATATTCACACTCATTAGCATATTTTCATAAAATCATATGGATGCAATGTCACAGAAGGGATCCTGGTGTTGTTTACTTAAAAGGTTGGATCTCAGTGAGAAAACTATCCCAATCATTATAGCTGACTGCTGTGTCCTGCAGACACTTCTTACCAGTACACCATACCGGCCCACTTTCACCTCTTAGAACAGGCCTTAGAGAATGCTGGTCTGTGTATAAAATCCACACCACTCAGAGACACAGTTCTACTAACCTACCCCCAGGTGTACACAGCACTAAGTCGACAGAAGGATTCTGTGTAGCTACCACCTGTCAGGGAGGTGGATTATCTACACTGACAATGGCTACATTGAAGTGCAAAGTACTACACCTAGGAAGTTAAAAATCAACGCACAACTACAAAATGGGGAATAATTGGATAAGCAGTGGTATTGCTGAAAAGGATCTGGAGGTTACAGTGGATCACAAGCTGAATAAGAGCCAACATGTGATGCAGTTGCATAAAAGGCTAGTATCATTGTGAAGTGTATTAACAGAGTGTCATATGTAAGACACATAAGGTAATTGTTCCACTCTACTCAGCACTGGTGAGGACTCAGCTGGAATAGTGTGTCCAGTTTTGAGCACCACGCTTTAAGAAAGACAAATTGGAGAAAGTCCAGAGGAAAGCAACAAAAATGATAAAAGGCTTTGAAAACATGGCCAAGTTGAAAGAACTGGACATGTTTAGTCTTAAGAAAAGACTGCTAACACTATTATCAAAAGGATGGTAATCAATTTTTCTGCATGTCCATTGAGTTTAGGACAAGAAGTAATGAGTTTAATCTGCAGCAAGGGAGATTTATGCTAGATATTGGTGAAAGCTTTCCAACTGTAAGGATAATTAAGTACTGAAATAAGTTATCAATGGAAGTTGTGGAATCTCCATCAGTGGAGGCTTTTAAGAACAGGTTAGACAAACATCTATCAGGTAGTCTCGATATACTTGGTCCTGTGTAGGGGGGGATGGACTAGATGACCTCTCTAGGTCGCTTCCAGCCTTACATTTCTATGAGTCTATGAAATGGGAATGATAAGGAATTGGCCTGAATGGGGATAGGGATGGAAATTGTCTAGGTTGTTACAGGCTTGCCCACAAAGCAACTATTGGAGACCAAATTAAAATATTATGTTTTAGTGATTTAGGAATCTGTGAGTCTGTTAAGAAGGGTAGTTGCCATTTTGAAGAAGAAAAACACAACCGCCCTTTGATCTTGACAGGAGTAATTCTCTTCAACAATCAGCCAACCCCCAAATAGATTCACAACTGGCAATCTACATTTCAGACCAGAGAATGCCAGACAAACCCTCTTCTTTGACTCAGTTTACTGTGTTGATAGGATGGCCAGACCACTGGATGATTTTTTGGCATTCCAAATAAAATCTGAAAATATTTTTCAACTAATTTTATGTAATTTAAGAAGAACATGATAGGCAAAATTTGTAAAATGTGGGGCCAAAACTGCACTTGATGTGTAAACAGCTGAGGGATTGTTTTATGGAAGAGCTTATTCTCCCTAATAATGTGGATGTTGCAAACATATCAATAAGTCATCACTATTTTTGTTAATTAAGGAAGCGATATTATACTTATAATGACCAAAGATCCAATATATGTCCCCCATTACCATAGTATCTAAGCACTTCACAATTCCTAAATGCCTTTAGATGACTCACAAAGTCGATAAGAGTGAATTTTGAATGTGGATTTTGAACCTGGTGTTACATGGCTGATTATTTATGTAGAGTACAAGAAAGGAATCATGATGAAAGTTCACTTAATAATTACACTGCTCTACAGCCAAAATGCTTCTGAAATAAATGTAGTCAAACTTTATTAATTCTGGGTCGCTG